GCTGACTGAATACGACCATTTAGCTAAGTTCATGAAAAGTGCATGAGGCGGAAATTTGGCAAAGAATTATAGCTGATCTGTAAACAAAAAGGATACTTACACGAAAATGAATTCTCGAGGAAAAGCTCTAGATAAAATACCAGTTCAGAGGCCACAGAGATCTATCCGATGAACTGTTATTGCGGATAAATTGCGTTTTCTACGCACCCAGTTGTGAGGATGGCCTGACACTAACTCTCTTAGTTCGAACAGACCATAGGACCACTGTGGATAAAACATTTTATGTCATTCTCTGCGACCCCATTAGCTATTCAAAAGTTTACGGGTAACGAAGACCTCAGTAGGAGAAGCTATGACCATTCGGCTTAAACTGCGTGAATTATGTGCGTAAAATAGACGCGTAAGGCCGTCACCCCATAGTCGACACTTTGGACACAGCTTTGAATGGCTGTTGCTATCGTCACCAGCAGGAATTGGATGGACCCCTCCTACCTGGTAATTTCTGCAACCATGAAGTATATTAAGCAGAGTTTGGAGTCTACGTTAGTATAGTGTCAGAGGCCCCCGCTTTTGAACCGGTTACTTAAGTATATTGCTACTCCACCTCTCTCCTTGTGCTCCCTATCTCCTTTGAGCAGAAGCAAACAGTATGCCGTGGCTTCGATTTCACCTATATCCGAAGGTAACCGAGTTTTTGTCAGGATTACAGTTTTCGGCAAAGTGGAAGTAGCAGTTTCACTGTACTACCATCGTGTCACCTCACATTGCTGGAAAGGAACTTGGAGGCGTTTCCCAGGATGCATGGTGCTCCCGCAGTGGATAACGGTAGAGGGTTATTTGCGGCGGTCCCATTTCCATTGGAATCGACTAGCCTAGTTATCCCCAGGATATTCTTTACATTCACTGCCACGTAAGCTCTGTCGGTCTTGTCTTCGTCGTGTCGGTGTACAGTATAGTAGTGGCAGTTTCAGCACGGAGGGAAGGTGTTGTTGCAACATTCAAGGTCTGTTTTCAGAGCAGCTAACGTTTGGTGACAGTGTTTTTAACTTTATACCATGTCCACAAAATGCTAGTTGGGAGCCCCAGGCATCTAGATTTAATGGCCTGCATTCCAAACGAAGTCCTAGTTGTCAGGTGCGATGCGTGTGGGAGCCTGTAGATTTCACCTTCTACCGTCCACTCCATTATCATCCGTGCTTATAACCACTGCTTCTCTGGGGCATCCTAAGTGTATTTTTCCGCTGGGATTCCAATCACTAATTTCGGAATTCCGTGAGTGACCGTGGTCGTGGGCCCTTGCAGATAAAATGCTCCTTGACATATCTTTCTCACGACCATGGCCGATCCGGTCTGGCTCTTATGCTGATGACTAATTGGTGACCAGCATGTGAAAGAGTGGCGGGAAAATTTCAGCTTCTCTTACCGGGTTCATTGTCGTCCTCGTCCGCGGGGGCTGGCTCGAAGTCGATCGGCTGCCTATATGCAGCCGGGAAGGCTTCGCCCCTGAGGCGTTCTACCCTAACGAGCAACAAGTGGCATCCCGCTGCTGTTTATCAGACATATTTGCCCGTTCAAGTAGGTTGTCAAAGCGCATACGAATGCCAAATAGGTTGGTGGACTTAGACTGAAAACAACTTGTGTTATGAGTGCTTCCATGAGCAAGTCACGCCTTATGCCCCGCTATAACTATTTTCGTTTGACTTCTAGCACGTTTCTATTGGAGCGAGACCTTGGGTTGGCATGGTTAGCTTTGAAGGGGATTGTTTTTGGACTACTTACTAGTGTGACCGTCTGTGAAGAGTCAGTGGCTATCTGTGCGGTGTTACCGTTCTACACAGAAGTGGTGGACAAATGTTTGCACCTCGGTGACAAATACCAAGGAATCTTTTGCAGCTTTCCCAAGGGAGTCTGTAGCTAGAACACAGCAAATGCGATGGTGCAGACAAGTGTACCGAAAGCGTGTACATGTGAGTACAACCATAAAAAAATCCGGTACGTCTTAACTGCGTCGACTACGCAACTGCTTATTACAAAGGTTCAACTGAAAAGCTGTGACGCTTGTGGCTACCGTGGGGCCACACATGTGAATGTCACCGCCTTGGCCTGCAGGTTCTGTCAGGGGTTTCTCATTGATTCTTTGACCTTTTCACAAGTGGGTTAGGGTTTCAGACGGACGCGCCACGAAAGTCTTCACGTTTCTGGCCGAAGACTGTCCGGAGTGTTGTGAGTTTAAAATTTTATTATTCTATGGCATAAGAGTCCTTAATGACTTGAAAAGCGGATGTATCAAGATTCTCTTAGCTTTTTGCGCCTCTTAGATACAACCTCCAGGTAATACTGAGTAACAGTTGTCAGTGACCGTGATGAGGCTAAGTAAAAGAGGTCTTCGGGGCCCTAACTTTCCTAGGAAAGACGCGCTGTTACTTTGCGTGCCCGTAAATAGATACGAAGAACAAGAGAAGAGAGAGTGAAATATTTACCTCGATTAAAAGCAGATAAGTTAGAGAATCGACTATCAAAGTTTCCTTTGATAGCGTGTTTATAAGATTTTGATGAGTTCCAGCGGATATCCATAGGTTGAAATATGATGCGGCAAGTGCTGCAACCTGAGCCATAGAAGCTGACTGAGGTATCTGGACCTACCGCATGGGTACCTGTTCGGAGAATGGTGGTGACAGTCAAATTGCTTGACCTAAATAAGACTTCCAATCCATACATTTTTAGTTTCCTGCCTTTATTTTAATGTGGAACTAATTTGTCTTCCCTTGCTTTAAATGACGCCCTGGTTATTACTTAAATCTGACGAAACCATATTTCAGGATCTTAGCAGCACAACAGTCCAAGGACAAAATGCATATCTTCCGCCTTTCAAAACCTTTGGGCAAGCAAAAATGAATGTGCCGGTTTGCACTAGCGCGTAGAGTATACTGATTGATCGAAGTCATGGTTATTTTTTGGCCTTTTGAGTTAAATGCTAAATTGCTTGATCTACAGGACCGAATGTTTTCACCATCCAATATCCAATATCTTCTAAACGAGTTTCTGTAAACCAGTCGATTTCTCCTTGCTCGCTTCTTGGTTGTGAGGAACGTTGCAGGTCTTCGGCGGATTCCGATGCGGTAGATCCAGCCACTCGTCTACTATAGCTCTGATTTACAGAACAGGAAGTTAGGTGTTGGTTTGCTTGCCTTGGACTGTGGTGCGGTTGGCTTCTTGGGATGTCGAGTTGCCAGACAGTTGTTCGGGCTGATCACTAGAGAGGGTTACGGATAGTGAGGAGAAAACCTAGAAAGGTGAGTTTGTGTGGGTAAAAGGGGAAAAGAAAAGTGAACTAATGGAGTAATCTAATTACACTCAAGTAAGGCTAGGAGGGGCGCAAAGGTATGAGGAACCTAGGTAAGTGAGGCTAACTCACGGCAAGTGGAAGGGGTGAAAAGGGCTTAAATGGTTACAGTAGAAAGAAAACTGGTTGTGGAGTTAAAATAGTTCGGGTGGCTTGACATCAGTTGAATTCTTCTGTTTGGTTTGTGTTCCAGCCATATGTGGGTAGACCGTGGGTCTCTGCGTGACTGTCTGGCCTCGTCTTGAAGCTTTTACTAGTTGGGGTGGAGACCACCTCACCTGGTAGTGAGTTCCAGTACCCACAGACTGGGAGGGAGAAGAGGTGTGAATGCAAATGAGCTTTTGACCTTTGATGCGCTATTCTCCTAGGGTTTCCCTGAGGATCTCAATGGCGGCCACTCGATAGTATTCGTCTGTTCGGGTGACTTGGGTTATTCAGTATTTTTTAGGCCATTATCAAGCCAGCTCGTAACCGTCGGTAGCTAAGATAGTATAGGCCTAGGTCTTTCAGTCTATCCTCATATGGTTTTCGTTGCATCCCAGCAACCCCTTCTGCAACTCTCCTCTGGCCTTTTTCCAGCAGGTCAGTGTCACTTTTCAATTGTGGTAGAGCGAAGACGTTATGGACCTTTAAGTGGGGTCGTATGTAAGTCTTGTAGAGCTTCATAAAGAGCTCCGGTGTGAGGGCACCTAGATGTCTGCGCGCAAAGTGCAATAGACCATATGCTTTCGTGGCATCAGCTGGATATTTTGAACTGGTGTCCAGTTTTCCCCCACCGTTAAACCCAGGTCTTTTTCTACTAAGGTATGGGATAGACGTGAACCACAGGGATAGTAGGATACTTTCTGGGGATTAGGAGTGCAGAAAGGCATGGACCGGAACTTATCCAGGTTAAATGCCAGTTCGTTGTAGGTTTTTAGGATTTGTCCTGGTGTGAACTTGACAGACGCAAAGACCAATCACTAATTATTCGGACTTGTTTTATACCGACGAATACGAGACCAGGGAAGAACACGATAGCGTAGTTGGATGGAATAGTATATCTGGATGGTTGTGCCAAGCTGCCGATGCGTTCCAACTAACTGGCTAGACAGTCGAATACCAGCGGTGCAACGTAACACGACGGCGTGCCAAATGGCGAGGATGCTTGACCGGGTGCCTTCAGCTTAGCCAGTCCAGTTGAACTATCAAGGTCAGCATCAGTGTCGAAAGTCGTCAAACCCAAGGCTATCGATTTTGGGGAAGTGTGTGACGCTACAAGTTCCCTATTCGTCTAGTGTTTTGAGGTTGTTCTGTAATGCTTTCGATTCCGCCTCGCAAGTTGTTGGCCTCCATAACTTGACATCATCAGGGTAACGGAGAATCAGAGAGCTGATGTGTAGCTGCAGGTCATTCACGCACAGTAAGAACAACAATGGACTCAAGATTGCTCCTTGTGAGAGACTGGATGAGGATGTTCTCCAAGTTGAGCAAACCCTTAGTAGACCTGTCATAATATTTCATATAGAACGTACTAATAAAAAATCACTCATTGTTTGAAATATGGATATGAAAGCTAAAAGAAAGATGTTGCTTTGTCTTATCGAATCTATGAACCTGTATAACTAGCGCTCAAGTTGAATTTTCCCTAATTGTTGTCTATGTTCATAATCCCGTGATGATTGGAAATGGTGAATATGACGATCCAAATGGTTCTGGTGCATCATCATTTTGGGAATGCAGAGAATATCAACGAACAGTTAAGCGTGTAGATGCTGCAAATAAATTATGCAGTGAATTATGCTTGATGATCCAGGAACGTGCAGAATTAGAAAAGGCCTACTCATCCAATCTTAAAAAATGGTCCTCTCGCTGGCTCAGTTTTCTTGACTCAGGCTTAGAATATGGATCTGGATCGTCTTCGTGGAGAGGATTATGTAAGGAAGCGGAGGCTATATCCAATGTTCATCAAGTGAGTAATTTTGTAAAAGTTAGCTTTCATCGTACTACATTTTTTTCAGGCAGTCACTCGTAATATGTCTAATGAAACTTAGCCTGCCTGGTTACAATGTTATGATGCATTGCTTCTTACCAGATGCAATGAAAAGAAAGTTGCAGCCCTTTTTAAGTGTTAGTACTTAATAGATATCTGAAAGTAGTTCCTTAGTGTTAGTTGTCATGAGAGTAATGGAAGTATCTTTTGGCAACTTTGCTTTTGAAGTCTGGTTAACCGTACATTGACAGCTGCCTGTGCTTACGCTTTTTTATCGGTGAATCTACTTTTTTTGCCGCTCCAGAGTAAAGAGATTCATATTTGAACTGTCAGGAGAAAATATAGGCCTCTGACTTCATTGATTATCAACGTTGGCTATATAGTAACATCACTAGGTTCATATGTCATTGATATCTTTGTTGGAAATGATTTCTTACTGCCTTGTTTTGAATGTTGGGGTCAATTTTTTAGGCTTAGGGTTATTAGATCCCATTGTGTTCTGATTGTCGGCCATTTATGTCTCTTCTGCTTAATAAAAGCTTGCACAGATCGGAATTAGTACAAAGCATAGCCTAAAATAACTTAAGTTACTAGTTCATGTGAAATGATAAACAAATTCACGGCATTCAGACTGTGGTTAGTGAATCCGTTGTAGTGTTGATGGGATCAATATAAGCCTTATTCTTGATTCCTGATCGCATGTTTACCACATTCTTCTGTCATCCATGATAGCTTAATGACATTTTACACCCAAACATAATATTTTTCACTTTCTTCCAACAATACTTCAGTTACCAGGTTTTCTAAAAGTAGAGTCAAAACAATTCAACTATTTCTCTATTTAGCATGTATTTGGTTGCTGTGAATAAACAGACTACTTTAATATATAATTTTCGTAAACATATCAGATTTGATCAGTGGTACCTTTTTCTAATTATCTTTCTAGAATGTACGCAATATCCTCATAGATGAAATACAAACAGGGGTTAAACATTGGCAAAAAGAACACTTTCATAAGAGTCCATTACCTCCACAATCGTTAAAAGAGACAAAACAATTTGAGCAAGATTTTGAATTTGCACAAAAGCAATGGTCAAAACGTCTAAAAAAAGTTCATACAACTAAGAAAGAATACTATCAGGCATGTAAGACAGAAAGATCACTTCAAGTTCAGGTTCAAAATGCAAAAAGTGACCCAAGTGGTACAGCGGAACAGGTAAATCGAAAACCACTCTCCGTTATACATCTCATAATCTGATTCTGATGCATGAATTTTTTAAAAGTTAGATATATAATAGTATTTTGTGTGTACATTTATTATCCAATTCTTCATAAATTTCTTCAAGAACATCTCAAATGTTTATTCATTCTAAGTAGGCTGAGAGAATAACAATTTTGTACGTTTTTTAGTCATTGCAGCTTGCTTTTGTTTTCATCGTATTGAAAATTCAGTGGTTTCTCTTTTCAGAAAGCTCTACATCCGATACTTGGCGACAGTGCTTACTTAATTGTCTGAAGATGCGAAGCTATAGCTATTATTTCACGTGTATCATTCTTATACTGTTGAATGTTGGCTGGTAGGTCAGCTATTACTGTAAACTAAGCGGGCAAAGTAGCTTATACAGTCAATTGTGATATATCCTAATTATTGGTTAAAATTTAGCAATTCTGAAGGGTAGTTAGTAGGATTCCTATCTCCTGGTCCATCTTAGTTCCTCCTTATTCGCACGGTTCTCTTAATTTCTGTGTTTACTACAACCACTGCTTTTTTTTTTGATGATTAGTATCAAGTATTGAAAAATATCGTGTCACAATTCTTTTGAATGACAGGTCTGTTTGGATTATATTAACCTTGGTAACTAGCAGTAAAATCCAGGACGTGCATTTTGTGCTGCTTGAGACTTGTCAGCCGGATGTTGTTCCCACTGGGGCTCAAACCCAGTATCCATCGCTTCAAATGCCAAAAAGTTATCCACAAGGTCACTGCGGCACAAAATACTGTGACGCATAGACACAGTGATACTGTTTTACTGTATGACACTTAATAAACAGATTAAAATGGAATTACAATCCACCAGACTGCTTAAGTTTTACTCCTATATAGTTATTTTTATCACTTAGCGGTGAAATGTATTGCGACTACTCAACTCTTGTTTAACCATCATAACATTTATCTGTATTGGTAGGTGTACACAGTAAAATAAGTGTTTATCTTGAGATTAAAGTTTCTTCAGCTACATTTTTATCCGTTTCTGTTTCTCCGGGACATTGTTCGAATTTGGTAGAATCACTGTGTGAGTAATGTTAAGGTCAGACAAAGGGTACTATTGCAGGACTGGCAAGTGGATTGATGAAGTTGTCAGCCTTAGTCGACTAAGATGACTCGGACATGTACTGCACATGCCGAACTATTACCGCCTTTCTGGACCGTATTGGTAGGTGTAGACTGTCTGGTTGGGGTCCCGGAGACGATAGAAATCAGTAGTCAAGAACTGATGCTTAGTAACATGGTTGAAAATTGTTCATAATAGCGCATATGTATTCACTCCTTGACATCTAAGGCTTGGAGATGCACTCAGCGTTACCCTCAGATTATTTATTCTCTCACATAACTTTGTCTACTTTGATATCACTTTTTCTCTCCAGTTGTTTTTAAACGACTATGAAGTGTGGCAAGTTGAGCTGATGCACCTGTTTGCGAGGTTCTATGAAGGTTTTGTCCGTCCATCTTTGTGTTTTTGTGTATAGTTGGGATAAGTATAATTTGAACGACGATGTTTATTAGGAGATTTTAGCACAAAAATCACTTGATACCTTTTTTTCTTACAAAACAAAATAAACGGTATGCCAGTGCCAATAGAAAGTGCTCTCTTTTTTAATCTTTAATTGGTAGGGTGCTAATACAAAGGTGAGTTGGCTTTTTGTGTGCTGTGTTAATTGGTGACATCGGAACTTACTATTCATTTTATTTGAATTTTTGGGGTTACCGTATTCCTTATCATACATTATTATCGATTATTGCTTGTCTCTGAATTTATTTTTGTTGAGTCAAAATCATATTCTTTTGAAAGATTGAATTTATTATGACTACTATGATAAGCGTATGCCTTTATAACACCCCATTGATATACATGAAGCCAAGGACATGTTAGTAGTAGGTAGGAATAACCAGCATACGAGTAATGTAGATAAACAGTGAAGGATAACTACACCATTAAAAAAATAGTTTATACTTTTGACTAATTTAGCCTAAAAGTTTTTGTGTTATGATAAAAGTCACATTTCAATTTTTCATTTTTATCATCAAGTTTAGAATAAAACTTAACATCTCTATTCATGGATTATCGTCTATTACTGCCTTATCCTTCAGAAATCCATCTTCTTTTCAAAGTAAACACAACTAGTAGAATATTTAACTATGTAGCGTTTGATTTCACTACATACAATTTGGCCTGTCGTCTCACTGACCTAGTCGTTTCATCTATTACTCTACATATGAACTCGAATTACTAGTATGTGATACTCGTGTCGGATTCTAACAGTGGTTTGCAGGTAGTTATGGCTGTTGGCTTACATTATCATGTATGTTTTACTTGCAATGGAAATTCCACCATCAAAACACAGAACAGAGCTAAATAACATAGTCTACGTGTGACTCTTATTTCACACTTAAAAAACTCGTAAACGCACTCCTATACAAAGTGGGTAGTAGCTTAAGGTTATTCACTCACTCAGTCTGACCAAACTAGACTCTTGTCTACACCTGTTCTTCATTACCACTTGGTATTTTTTTGAGAAACGTCGTGAGTTATGATTTTCCTTGTCTCAGTGTTGTAGGTTGATAAATAAGGCATAAAGGATACGACCAGTTTCCGTAAAATAGGTAACAGACGGTTATATCATAAACCCTAAGTCATCATCAGTGGTCATATATAGGTCATTGAAAGCTAGACGCAAAGAAAAATACTGCTATGAAGCCAGAGAAACTCAAACTCTATCATTTTTTCACAGAAAAGTTCGATCTGTCTTATACTTCACGGGTGGGATGAAATGTTTCAACACATTTTGAATTCCATCAAAACGTATCGAAACTTATGGGTTGTATTAAGAATGCTGTAGATGGAGATGATTTCTTAGCGCCTGTTTCACTACTTCCAAGCCTTTTTAGAATTAATTATAAATCCAGTTTCGGTTATTCAATGAAAAAAAAATGAAAGTTAATACAAACGTTATAATTCGCTTTTGAGGTTGTCGTGTGCTTGTTTTTTGTTAACTACTCAGGAAATGGGACAATTCTGAGTAAATAATAGTTCCCTAAAGCTTTTTACATCACTCACAGATTTACTACAGTATTAGATACTTCATTTTATAAGAAAAGTCTTTACACGTTTAGGTCTTCTTGTCACTATCTGATACGTTACGTAATTTTCACTCTTTGTTATAGTTATTGATGAATTTCGATGTCTCCTCAAGTGGCACTATTAGCATTTTAATATTTTGCCACTGCCACAAAAGTTAGACGTGGTGTCGGTTAAAAGCAACATTGTAGTTAATTTCATATTCTAAGGAAAAAGTATCTGAATGCAGTATGGTTTATCGGCAGGTTAATCGTGTTAAGAAAAGAATTTTCAACCATTTTGTGATTTCCTCATTAATTTACTTGGTTAATTAATCTCTTAGAATATCTTGATATATATTATGATAATCATGGTTAGGGTTAGGCGTATGTACGAGGTGCCTACCTATAACAAAGATCTGCAGGCAAAAACTAACAAGTTGACAAAAGAGGCAGCGAAGACAGGAGTTCAAGTGAACGTAGAGAAGACGGAGGTGATGATGATACCCAACCAACGCCACCAATAACAACAAGCTGCAATCACCATCATCAGGAGAAACTTATCACCTATCTAGGCAGCATCGTTTCAACTGCAGGCAGCACAGGCGCAGATGAGGACGTCAAAGTCAGGATCGGAAAAGCAAGACAGGAGTTCATTGGCGTGAAACCAATGTGGAGATTTACTGCACTCAGCATAAAGTGTGAACTACATCCGGATTTTCGACACTGTCAGTCAAGTCAGTGATTCTGTATGGTGCTTGAGAGACTTGACGCGTTACGAAAAGCATTTCCAACAAACTACAGATATCCATCAACAACTGCTTACACTAGCTCGTTACTGAGGCTCAGATGGCCAGGAAGAATAAGCACGAAAGGACTCTGTCAACGAACCAACGAAACAAGAAGCTATCGCTGAAGAAATATGCGGAAGAAGGAAGTGGCGATGGATTGGGCATGCACTGAGAAAACCATTCGGGGACATCACGCGCTGGGCCAGGTACTCCAGTGGAACCCAGATAGGAAACGACGAGTAAGGCATTCAAGGCGAGGGTGACATGTCGTGGAGCCAGGTTCTAAAGATTGCAGAGAAGAGAGTGAAATGTAGACGTGCTACTGAAGCCCTATCTTCCACTAGGAACCCAAGGGATGAATAAATAATAATGTGTTTGCAGTAACTTATTTACAACTCTAGTTTCCAAGAGACTGACTAGACTTCATATTACCTTTTTGATATAGGATGACTGAGGAGGGATAGGTAATGTAATAAATACCTTTAACTTAGGTTACTTCCTGTATTGAAAAAAGGGAATGATATTGTCTGGTGTTAAGCGCTTTTTTACTGTTTAGCAAAATAATCTAAAAGCAGTTCTTTATACCAGTTGTTACTACGGCACTAGGTATACTTTATCACAACAATCCAGTATTAGGAGCAGTTTGTAAAGCATTCATAATTAGATTTAACAAGATATGATAGTTTCTAATCTTTTACCTTATTGAAATGATAATTATCACTGAAACTTTATCCTATGAGCATGCTAAATCGAAATGATATGGTAAAATATCAATAATATCCACCTTTGAAGTAATTCACTGCAACTTTCCTTGTTTGTAATATCTTGTACTGTATGTCATTTATCCATCAAACTGTTAATAATAATCACTTTAGAAGTAGTATTTATCATGGATTGACATCAGTTGGGGAACTATTGAAAACCTGGGAGCACTGGACAGCTGTTTCGTCCTAGTATGGGACTCCGTTCGCCGTGAAACCTGAAGGTCCTGAGTTCAACTCCTAGCCGGGTCGTGGGTGCATACTGCTGAGGAGTCCTATACTAGTTGGACGAAACACCTGTCCAGTGCTCCCAGGTTTTCAATGGTTC